GGGAAAGAGGAAATTGCATGTAAATTTCTTGTTGAGTTTTTGATATGTTATCTCATAAGCTTCTTCACTGTTTTGTCATAGATCCAAAAAGTATTGTGTACACTGTAAGGCAGAAAGATAATGTACAGTAATAGCATTAGATAAGTAATGAATGTTTATCACAAACTAATTTCTATAAAGACTTGTCAGTGAATAACGTTGGGAACTCAAGCAGCAGATTTGGTGATGTTCTTGAATAGCGCTAATAGAAAACAGCATATATTTTTTTCTGACTGTTCCTTTCTTCCTGGCAAGTATTTTTGCTGTTCTGAATGCATCTGACCTGTTTTCTTGTGTCTTGTTTACATTTTGGCATTAATGCTTCTTTCAAGGTCTCTGTAGCAATATTCCTGTCACTCAGCTGCAGCATGGGGACAGACAGCTGCGCCCCTGTGCCTGGCACCGGCCTGTTTCAGTAGAAAGCCGAAGCAGCTCAGTGTGGGCTCTGTTCTCATGCTGATGGGTGCAACTGAGCAGCTGCTCCCGCTTTTCCAGGAGCTCATTTTTTTTAGTTCGTTACTGTAATCAGAAAGCCTGGATGAACAGCACAAAGGCTTTTGTGAGAAGGAGGTGCCAAATGAGATAGGAGGGAGAGTATATGGAAGGGAAAAGAAAGAGCATTTTATACAATTCACAAGTGAAGAAAAAATTGATTCATTAAACCAATAGATTAAACTACTGAAATAATCCATTAAGGAGTGGGTAACTGTTTTAAAAACAAATGAAAAATACCCAACCATCCCTTTAATTCGGAAGTCAGTGTTTTTATTTTCAAAGTTTATTTCCCAAATCCTGTGGTTGATTAACTCTGAAGTTGCTTCTAAAATAACAAAATCCCCCAAATTATTGCCCTGTGTCTTGCTGAGGCTAGCGTCGTGGTGATTTCCCTCCACCCTTGAGATGTCCTTTTTCTTATGCGTGACAGTCAACGCAGGGCTTTTGGCCAGCACCTCTAGCTTACAGTGAAATAGCAATGACTCTTCCCCTTTTTGTGAGCTGAACCCAATATTATTAGGTTACGTTCACCCATTACACATAAGTTAATTAAATGAATTCACTTCTATTCTGCCATCTTGTTCCCCATGAGTAGTCCTGTTCTTGGAGCACTGAGCTGTGGAAATTACATATTTCCAGTTCACGGTGAAGCTATTCTAGGTGGTTTTTTTCCCATTTTTGAATGTGGGATGTATGCCTTTAATGTTTGGGGAAAAAATGCGATCTGAATTAGCAAAACCAAACTTTGGTGTGTTTAGTTTATCAGATTTATAAAATTATAGGAGAGATGTGGTGAGACTAAAACAGACTGACACAAAAAAAAGTTTGTTCTTTTCCCTGTGTATAGTTCCTTGATTTGAGATTACTTGAATGTTTGGTAAACATGAAAAAAAAACCTTTGAAACCTTTTTTTTTTCTGTTTATTACATTTCTACTAAATAAGCTGATAATGGAAATAGCTTTCTAAATCTGATTGCTAGTCAGTCTAGCAAATAATTTCCCTCTTTAAACAATCACAGAAAATAGGAGTAGAAGACTTTTCTGTTGTTTAATGTTCTTTCTACATTATCCTTTTTGTCATTACAGCGGACAAATAATAAATTGACTAAACACAATTTGTTTTTATACCTAGCTGTCAACATATAACAAACTGAGAACATAAATAATTACAGGTGTATTTTTCCACACTGAGGTAGTTCCTATCCACATTTTCGTTTGCTTTTGTCCTGTAGAAAATAACTTTGTGTAAGTTAGTTATTACTGTAATAGAGATCCTAATTATGGGATTACAAGGCCAGCTGTTCTGTCAGATATATGTTCTCAAGAGGTTCCGTCCATTATATATGCTGCTAAGCTCTCTTGATTATAAAGCGTAGAAGTAAATTAATTGTCTGTTACAACTGTTAGGCAATATTGGTGTGATCTATATATACCACTGCGCACTCTTACTGAAAGAGAAAAAGTACTAATTACATTATTTTCTCTTCTTTCCTCAGGAAGCTACTGTCTAGAAACTAAGAAAGGGTGTGCGAAGTCTGGTTGATCAAGGTGGAATTATTTTTTTTTCCAAGAGCCTTTTCACAATTGCCTTTTGCAAAATCTTTGGACACTCCCCATTGTGCCATGTTTTGTGGCTCTCACTGTAAGAGGAATTTGTCTTGATGAAGATTCCTAACATTGGTAATGTGATGAATAAATTTGAGATCCTTGGGGTTGTAGGTGAAGGTAAGTAGTATCTTAATAAAAAATTAATTAGAATTTTATATAGATTTTGACTTAGTTCTCTTGATGGTAATAAGTTTTATTGCTTGTATGCAAATCTTAAGAAACATCAGTTTATTCTCTACAGCTCCTTCTAATTCCATTCTCAGATGGAAGGATAAGTTTGAAAGATGACTGAGAAGAAAAAGAAATTGTATGGTTTTGGGGAGGGGCTGTTTGGTTTTTGATTTTGTTTTGGTTTTTTTTTCAAAGTTTACTATATTAATTTCCTTGTAGGGATAGTGGAAAGACGCAAGTTATCAAACTTCTCTGCAAATATATTTTAAAATATAATTTCAGCATTTTAAAATCCATTTACCTTCAAACAATTTTTACAAAATTGTTTCAGTGCACAAAAATTTAGTACAGTACCTGTGTGTGCAAGTTCTGGATAATAATACTGGGAACAATATTATTTCCATAGCCAGGAGGTGACTGAAGACTGTTTTATCTTGCTGCTTTTTTTTCTGCTTTGAGATGGTTTCTATCTTTTCTTTGTTTCAGGAGCCTATGGCGTTGTACTTAAATGCAGACACAAGGTAAGTAAATTGCATTGTCAGAAATAAATGTTCCTATTTGGGTGAAGTAACAACTTTTGATGAGAACTGAGATGTTACTATGTATGAGATGTGGCAGTTGGGGTGGGCTTTTCCTTGCAGTCAGTTATTCAGTTTTTTAATTGCGATACTGTCAGAGGAAATGGCTGCACCTACAGAATGGCAGGGGTTGGAAGGGACCTCGGGAGGTCATCTAGCACCAAACCTCTGTTTTTTTGGTGTTTAGTATTTGTCTGAAATATATAAAGTATTAATAATGTTTCATTAATCTCAGTTAAGAGTGTTTAAAAAAAAAAAAAAGAAAAAAGAGAAAGGTGGTTTTGGAATGCAGTTTAAGCTCAGACAGACTCAATTAGTACTTCAAATTAATTGCCAAATACTGTTGTATAAGCACTTACCTGTCTTGGGCAGGGGGAGGGAGTGGGATCCATGTGGAATTTCTACAGCTGTTGGACAATCAAACTGCAGTAAGAAAGCACTGACTTTTATGCTTGTTGATTTTTAATTTGGAAGAAGAAAAGAATAAAAAGGAAAGAAAAAAACCACCTTGTTTCAGACAAAAATGAAGTCTGGCAACCTGTCAACACTGTTTTAAGCATTGTGTAAGCTGGATTTATCTGAACTTGCTGCTCATCAACTGGGAACTCTGACATGAACTGCTTTGCTGTCTTCAGAACTGCAGTGTAGTCGCAGTGTAGTCATATAGCAAAGTAACTTCTGCTTCTCTGAAGCAAAACGTTTCAGAATCATAGAATGATTCATTTGTAGTGATTCAGGAGTATATAAAAGATTTTAAATGTAGTCCGTACATTTTTCTAGAAAAAGTTAACACTGTACAGAGGGTCTGCATTCCTGTGGTGGCTTTTAGCATGTACACAGCAGGACTTTTGCATAGGACATATAGTTATATTTAGAGTGGCTTACACTATTATACTAAATAGAAGTTAAAAAAGGAAAAAGAAACCTAGAACTTGGAAAGATCCTAGCTCAAGCTGAAGCCTTGTCGGGCTTGGGGAAGACTATAACACTAAATAGAAGGGCTTTGGTAAATTGGATATTTTTGGATAGTTACATAATAATAATTCAGGGTGAACAGTTTGAGAGCACGTGGGTAGTGACAGTAGAGTTTATACTAGGCAGCTCTCTTCTTTATGGAAGGTAACCTCCAAGACCAAGACTCAGAAGTTTCTAGGATTTCCTGCATTGCTGAGTGAAATTTAAGCTCAGCATGTCTTTAGTCATGTCCTCATCCGAAAGAGTTCAGTACTCGAAGAGTATAGTATAATGGCAGGGTAATCTGTTGTCTTGAGTTCCTATAAGAATACCTTATAGTATACCAGATGACTAGAAACGAAAGGCTTTCCTTTAGCAGAGGGAGGTGCTTCTTCTTACAGCCTGTGTAAGGATACTGAATTGCTTGTGAGGATCTAAATTTTTAGGTAGTCACACCATTTTTTTTTTCTGCAGCTTCAAGCTTTATTGAAACAACTGTATTGAAGTTCTAAAACAAAGAGGTGTTTATTAAAGCTTCTAGCAAGTGGTTGTACTAAGACCTAGGGTTCCCAGTATTTGCAGATCTGTAGAAAAGGTGAGGTATGTTGCTGTTTTAAGATTACTGATTTATGATTCTCATTTATTTAAAACAAGTTGCATCAAACCTCTAAGAGCAGATGACTTTAGGGGCTATCTGTTTTACATAGTTATTTTTTAGTGAAAGTTAAACTTAGACACGTGTCTCTTTTCCCAGCCTTCCCCTGGCTGTCTGTCATCTTAACCTTTTCCTTTTATGCCTTGGTAAAATATGTTGAAAGAGACTTGTCCCCAGCTCTTTTGCAAGGTTTTACACAGATTCAGAGTAGACATGTCCTGCTTGTTGCCTAGATATACAAGGTTTGTTAAGAAAACACTTGATAATTGCCACAAGAATTTAGTTCATCTTTAATTATAGGCATCATCATAAATAGAATTATTTACAAATTTCTACATTTTTGATGGATTTAATTATTTTTTACTTGGCTTGTTCCTTTTAAATATGAAAGAAAAATAGCTATAAAAGAATAGAGTTGGAGGGACAGTATGAATTAGAGCTTGAAGATGTGGTAAGATGCTGCCTGTTTGCTCTAGATCTTCATTTACCTTAAGATAGAAAAGACCCAAATTATAGACAGAAATTTTAAGGCTTTGATTTTAACCATTAACTAGAATACATGATAGAGCTGAAGTTGTAGAGAAACACCCTTCCAATGGGAAATGAAGGGAGGAAGAAAAGGGGAGAAGATTCTAATTCCTGTGACATAAAAGATACTACAAACAAAAACGGTGGGGTTTAGATGAGGCCTAAAGCCAGTCACCAATTACCTCAAAATGGGAATTTCTACCAAACCACGGTAACAGAGATTGTGCATTAAGAAAAGTTACTTGTATATAAAGGAAGAAAAAAAAAACATATTACAGGGTGGTATATGTAGTTGTTCTCCTTTGATCAAGATCTGTTTTTTAATACAACTTTCCTACTTGTATAGGAAAACAAAGATCTAATTCGCTTTCATGAAGTCTTAGCAGAATTACCTGGAAATGCAAGGATATGTGGGTTTTTTACTGTTTGGCTGCTGATGGGCATACTTTTTTTGGTATGGATGAAGAAAGTAAGAAGCTGAACTTCAAGTGCGTGACATAGTAAATCTATTCAGCACCACATAAGTCCAGAAACAGCATAAAAAATAGAAAATCTTGCAATATTTTTAATGTATGTATGGTATATACCACATGACCATACTTGGTCATGTTCTCTCAGCATGTACTGTTTTTCTTTTTGCGCAAAGCTAGCAATTACATCTTTGAATGTAGAAGTATTTATATTCTTCTTTATAAATAGTGTTAACATGCGAGGATCAAATTCTTAGCTACTCTAAGTCAATGTACCTCCATTGTATTGGTGAGAGGGTAAATTTTGTGTGAAATGAGGAGCTGGCCCCTAATTGCAACAATTTGCCAACATATAATCCACTAGTGCTTCAATAAATGTGTAGCTTTTTGCCCCAGTGCATTTCATTGGCATGTGTATATGTATTTAGATCAGAGAGAATGGCATTAGGAACAAATACCTTGTCATTATTATATGCGTGTTTTCTTTGCTAAGGCAACATTATCAGAAAAGCTAAAGTAGCTCCTCTAGAATGACGGTGTTTATATTATTATACAGCATGTTTTATCACAAATTCCTTATTGCTAATTGTGGTTTGTGCATAGAGATTACTTGTTTATCTGGGTGTTTTTTTTCTCTTGTGAAGCTAATGCAAATAACGTTGAGATAAAGCAGATCTGATGTTCTGAAAAGCTTTTTCCTTTATTTCTTTTAATGAGAGGACTTTTCATAAGGAAATATCCTGGAGTACATTATGTTTGAAAATACTGGAAATACATTTTATATTCACAAACTAATAAAATAGGCTGTCTTGGCTTATTTACTGGATCTCTGCTATGTTGTCAGAAAAGAAGAGTTCATGGCTGAGGAAAAGGATCTTTGCTTATGTTTAAGATTTGTCAAATACTTGCCCTTTAAATAAAACCACTCTCTCTTTTACTTTGCAACATGGGCCTGCAGCTTCATGCAGAGTTATCCTTTGCTAATAGGGACTTAGGCACAAGTATTAGGAGGACTTTGACATCAGATACAAAGCTAATAATAATGACTTAAAATCAATAAAATGATAGGAAGGTGCTGTGGGAAAGCCATAGGTGTCCAGGAAGCCTAGAAGAAAAAATTGAGCTGAGAATCATGAAAAGGGAATGTATTGATATACTGTGAGATGGCGAACTGTGTATATAGAGGGAACATTGAAAATTGTAGCTGCAAGTAGGAGGAGTTTGTAGAGATGAGGTGAACGCATCCTTGGACTGCTGAGGTAAGTGGAGACTGTCTAGGTAGACAAGATGATGACACTGGAAAGGGGGGGGTCATTCATTAGGATGAGGCAGAGCTCAGCATAGTGTTAGGCTGGACAAGGTTTTGTACTAGCAGGCAGTCAAACCATAGCTGTTCTACCAATGCTTTGAAAGCTGCAATTCTAACTTCTGCTTTAGTTCCCACGCACAGAACATGGGTTTTATCAATGTTCAGTTGAATGTTTGAGAAGGATGCAGATGCAGTCTGTTAAAAAAAAAAAAAAATAAAAAAAAATTTTTCTTTCTTCAGAGTAGGATTGCATTATTATCCAGTAAATAAGGAATAGATATCACCTTAAGAAATGAGCATGAAACACCTAGACACCTAAAGCTGATCACTATATAAATAACCAAGTGTGGTAGCTGATGGCTTTCTACTTTTATACCTGCTGGTGTGGGGAGCTGGCAGAAACTTGCAGAAAAAAAACACTGAAAAATATGCAAAAGGGAAGACACCTATAGACCTATATCTACATGTATAAATCTATGTGGTTTTTTAGGTTAACTAGGTGTGAAAGGTGCGTGGTGTTGCAGATTCTCTAAAAGCACAGTAGAAACTTAAGAATTCTCCTAGACTTATCTTTTCTCTTTCTGTGTGCTGTGTGTTATAAGAGTCCTTGGAGCCTGAGGGGATACAGTTTAATGATTTAGAAATTTAATGCCAGTTGTTCATATACATACAACATCTCCTGCCTAATAAGGTGTTTGTTCTGGTCTTTTATTTTAGAAGTGTGTCTGGTGTTGGTTGTTCTTTATAGTATCAGTATTTTAGACCTTTTTCTTAAAGAAAAACACATTAAATACCCTTATTAAAAAAAAACCAAAAAACCAAAACAAAAAGAAGTGTTAGTTTACAGAATCATTTGGCCAGTTCAGTGCATTGAAGAATAACCTTTTTAATGGGTTTAATATTTCCAAACAATTTCCTCTCAGCCTAGTATTTAATTTTGTCTTGTTTGAGCCTTCAGTAATATTCTTGCTTTGTCTTCTGATAAGTTTTCTGTGTGTCTCAGAATATCTGAAAGAAATATTTACTG